GAGAGCCAAAAAAAAAAAAGGGAACATCCCCCCCCCACCCCACCCCCCCACCGCAAAGCCCATGTGTCTGGTTTTATACCAAACCTGGCTGCTTAACCCCACCCTCAGGTTCCAGCAACCTTCCCTTTGCTAGTGAAGGGATTTATCTCTCCCAATGTCTTTTGGCTTTGGTCTGGAGTGGGGGTGGAGTCCACAAAGCCTGTATGGAATTAGCTTTAGGTCATCCTTTTCCCCCTAACAGTGGTGACCATAAAGACTTCCCATTCACAGATGCTGGCTCAATAAACTTCCCCAATAACTAATGTCCAGCCAGGGTTGACAACCATTACCCTCAGCCAACAGTGGTCAAACTCCTTGATTTCCTTTATACTCTTGAAAAATATTGAGGGCCCCAAACAAGTTTGCTTTATGAACAATTTTAAAACACAAAAACAAAAATATACATCTTTCATTAGCCCATCAGGACAATGGTATCCCTATATGTCATGTAGCTTCTGAAAATTCCACTGGACGGATTAAAAAATGAGAGGGGGAAAAGGGCAAATAATGTCCTGTATTGTTACAAAACATAGTTTTGACTTCGTGGATCTGCTGATGTTGCCTTAGACTAAGTTTTCCACACCAAGGTATTGTTACAGGGCAGGGAGAGGGGCAGCCCAAACCCTGCAAACCTGCCTATTCTAAATGGGTTCTGCCATCCACCGCATCAACACAAAACATACGAGACTTTAATGGGAAGGAACTTTAATAAAACTAGGAAACAATACAGGTAAGGCAAAGAGTCTAGTTTCTAAATGAAGCACCCAAAGTTACCCGTCCCCTCGTGGGTAAAACTCCATCCAAATGGGATTGGCCCAGAGCAAGGCCCCAAAGTCTGCCACAAGTCTAAAGCACCTTCCAGTGGGGACCCACAGAAAAGGGTCAGAAACAACCAGACAAGCCCCAAAGGAAAAGAGCAAAATCAAAATCAAGATAAAAGCTGCCATTGTCACCTCCCAGCGGGTCTCACCCACATCTGTGTCACCCAGTCCACGACCAAAAGACAAGCGCAGTGTCTTCACGTGTCTCTAGGCTCCATGTGCCTCCTCCAGGGCTCCTTCTGGCTCCATCCTGCTTCCTTCCTCAGTCTCCTCTGCAGCTTCTTCTCTCCCTGCTCAGCTCCACCCTCCATTTGGGTGGGGCAGGAAACCTGGAACCTCCACCTTTCCTGGGGACCACCCTGTTACAGTATTGCCCTTTATTCCCTTCTCTCTCTCTCTCTCTCTCTCTCTCTCTCTCACACACACACACACACACACACAGTCAGCCTCCCTCCCCAGCAAGTCTATCACACCTAAATGAGTAATCTCCCATTAGCTCTCAGCCAAATAAGACAGTCAAATCCCATGGAACCTGATAGGATGAGTGATGATTAAGAAAAAGTGGGCTAAAGCTGGCTTGACTCTGGCAGCTTAAAACTAACAAGAAAAGTAAGTAAATAATGTAGATAAGATTGCAAAATCTGCATAGGCAAGTAAACTTATGTACCCTCGGGCCCTTTGAAAACATGAGACACAGAGAAATTAATTGCAAGGGTTAATCACATAATACCTTCATGCCTGGCAAGGACAAAACACTCCTGGATGACCCAATTGACTGCCAGATATTATAAATTGGCCAATCTTGGAAAGGATTAGTGCCACAGACTAATTCATTTGGCCCATACAGTGTTACTTTAAAGTACTAATTTGTTCCAAACATTGAAAACCAGGAGATTTCACATTAAAATCTGTTTTTGTTTTTCCTTTAAAGGTGAAAATCTGGCAATACTGGGGTCGTCTTTCTGTTGTAGAGCAACCCCGATACAAAACGGGGTGCCTGACTGTGGGTCCTCACCCGCGCGCTTAAAAGGTCATTTCCCCCTAACATTTCCACAGCGGACAGGAACACAGTGGTAAGCGCCCCCTTCAGATGGGTTTGGATTTCCTTTCTTACTCCAAACTATTTCTCTCATTTATATTACCTGTCATGCCTACCAGGTGTTATATCTCTCTTGGAACTAACACTACCACCTTTGTTTAAGATTGAAAACCTCTCATTTTCTTTAAACCATATTGTAAAGGTTAGGCTCACTCCATTTATCTAGAGGTCAGGTTTACAATTGTTAGGGGGAAAAGGATGTCCTAAAGCTAATTCCATACAGGCTTTGTGGACTCCATCCCCACCCCAGGCCAAAGCCAAAGACACTGGGAACTCCAAATCCCATCACCACCAAAGGGAAGGTGGCTGGGACCTGAGGGTGGGGTTAAGCAGCCAGGTGTGGTATAAAGCCAGACACGTGGGCTTTGGAGGGGATCCCCCATTTTGGCTCCCCGCCAGCTCCCAGCTTTTGGCCAGCTCGGAGAGTACCTTTGGGTTTCCAAGTCGGCGGATTGGGTAGGACGCATTAAAGACTTTATTTCCCTATTTTTTCCCTGAGTTGTACATTTCCTTAATTCCCTTTCCCTTGTAAATAAACCTTTTATTAACCTTTTGTGTGTGCCTGTAGTGGAGTATTAATAAGTCCTTTCTAAGAGCGCTGGTGAGGACCCACAGCCAGGCAACCCGTTTTATTTTATATCAGAGTTGCCCTATAACACTATGACCTCTCCTAGCCAAAAGCTCCTCTATGATCTGATAAGCATCAACTCTCTGAGAAGCCAAGAGAGTGGGCATAAAGTTCTTGCAACTTTCTCTGGGTAAAGACATCACACTTGCCTAACTTATTTCTATTTCACATACAATTATCAAAGTTTTTTTTTCAAATTAGATTTTCCAGTCCAAGAGGAAAATAATTACAGCCCCCCCCAAAAAAAATGCAGCTTACAAACATCAGGGGGCACCCATAATCCTGCCCCTTCCGAAAAACAAAACTGCAGTAGGAGGCATTTTAAAATCAAGATTAATGGTGAAAATAGGAGGAAACACCCTTCCCAATGTTAAGAACTACTATATAGCTATGTGAAAGAAAATCCACAAGTTTTGGGCAAAGGAAAAGGACTTGCAGCGGTAGGTGTCAGCAGAACAAAGAGAATCGCTGTGCCTGTGCTCTGCCGACAGCCTGGTCCGTGGACACAGATCAAAAGAAATAACCACCTGGAAGCCTGCAGTCTCCTGAACTTGTCTGGCCAAACAGGCATTTCTTTATGATAAAATCTTTTATCTCCTAGGTGCTTTCCTTTCTCACATGCAAATTATGCCTGCCGGAGAGAATGAATGACGACAGGCAAGACACCCTGCCTGGAAATTAACATACGAACTGGAAAAAAAAAATGATGCCCACAGAAAACAACTTCTTTTGTTTGTGCCCTGTGCTTATTTCAAAAGTAACCCCTTTTTCCTGAGAAACCTCCTCTATCTCAAAGTTATATAAGTCAAACCCTGTAGAAAGGTAAGGGAGCCAAACAAGCAGCTGGTGGGGACACCTCTCCCACCACCTTTCCCCCAACTTAATCCTCATTGTTGTTGTCTGTTTGTTTTTCTTGCAAGAAGAAACCTTTTTCCCTCTCTACGTGGTGGTTATTATTTATTGCTTTTTAGCTACAACAATCAAGACAATGTGGTATTGTCTTGATACAAAGAGAAGTGGTAGGAATAGACAACACAGAAATAGACCACACAAGTGTGCCCAATTAATTTTTGACAAAGGAGTAAAAACATTTCAATGGAGAAGAGATACTCTTTTTGTTATAGGACAGGGAGAGGGGCAGCCCAAACCCCACAAACCTGCCTATTCTAAATGGGTTCTGGCATCCGCCGCATCAACACAAAACATAGGAGACTTTAATGGGAAGGAACTTTAATAAAACTAGGAAACAATACAGGAAAGGCAAAGAATCTAGTTTCTAAATGAAGCACCCAAAGTTACCCATCCTCTCGTGGGTAAAAGTCCATCCACATGGGATTGGCCCAGAACAAGGCCCCAAAGCCTGCCACAAGTCTAAAGCACCTTCCAGTGGGGACCCACAGAAAAAAGGTCAGAAACAACCAGACAAGCCCGGAAGGAAAAGAGCAAAATCAACATCAAGATAAAAGCTGCCATGGTCACCTCCCCACGGGTCTCACCCACATCTGTGTCACCCAGTCCACGACCAAAAGACAAGCACAGTTTCTTCACGTGTCTCTAGGCTCCATGCGCCTCCTCCAGGGCTCCTGGCTCCATCCTGCTTCCTTCCTCAGTCTCTTCTGCAGCTTCTCCTCTCCCTGCTCAGCTCCACCCTCCCTTGGGTGGGGCAGGGAAACTCCCCCTTTCCTGGGGACCACCCTGTTATATTTTCAATAAATTATATTGGACAATTAGACATGTATAGGCAAAAAGAAAAAAAAATCACTTGAATATAGACCTCAAACTGTTAGGGGGAAATGATGTCCTGAGCTAATCCCATACAGGCTTTGTAGACTCCACCCCCACTCCAGACTAAAGCCATCAAGACATTGGGAAAGATAAATCCTGTCACCACCAAAGGGAGGGTGGCTGGGACCTGAGGGTGGAGTTAAGCAGCCAGGTTGGATATAAAAACCAAACACGTGGGCCTTGGGGGTCTCGCTGTCACTCGCCTCCTGGCTTCAAGGCTTCTGGCTTGCAGCCAGCTCTCAGAGTGCCATTTGGGATTCCAGATCAGCGGATTGGGTAGGACGCATTTAAAACTTTGTCTCCCATTTTTCTCCCTGAGCTGTACATTTCCTCATTTCCCCTTCCCTTGTAAATAAACCTTTTATTAACCTTTCGTGTGTGCCTGCAGTAGAGCATTGATAAGTCCTTTTAAGCACACGGGTGAGGACCCACAGTCAGGCACCCCGTTTTGTATCGGGGCTGCTCTATAACAAAACCATATATAAAAATCAACACAAAATGGATCATGGACTCAAATGTAAACAATAAACGTAGCGAAAAAAATGGAGAAAATCTTTGGTACCAAGAACTACGCAAAGCATTTTTTTTTTAATTTTTTTTTTAGTTTTTTTAATTTAAATTAATTTTTGCATTTTTTTTTACATCATTGTTCATTTTTAAACAAAATTTGCTTCCCCCTACCCCCCTCAGGTGTAGTCCCCATAGTTTCCTTCACCAATGCACCCTTGCACCATCACATTGTTACAGGGCAGCCCCGATATTGAACGGGTTGCCTGTCTGTCGGTCCTCACCCGCGTGCATAAAAGGGACTTATTAGTACTCCACTACAGGCACACACAAAAGATTAATAAAAGGTTTATTTACAAGGGAAAAGGAAATAAGGAAAATGTACAACTCAGGGAGAAAATAGGGAAATAAAGTCTTTAATGAGTCCTACCCGATCCGACGACCTGGTAACCCAAAAAGCACTCTTCGAACTGGCCGATGCTGCGAGCTGGCGGGGAGCCAAAATGGGGGACCCCTCCAAAGCCCATGTGTCTGGCTTTATAGCAACCTGGTTGCTTAACCCCACCCTCAGGTCCCAGCCACCTTCCCTTTGGTGGTGATGGGATTTGGAGTTCCCAGTGGCTTTGGCTTTGGCCTGGGGTGGGGGTGGAGTCCACAAAGCCTGTATGGAATTAGCTCAGGACATCCTTTTCCCCCTAACAACATCAGTCCCCTGTGCTCCTCCCTCCCTTCCTCTGATCCCTCTCCCTCCTCCTCCCCTGCAGTATGCCTCTGATTTATTATAATTGTCTGTTTTTGTTTTTGCTTTGTTGTGTTTTGTAATGTTGTTATTTTTTTGCACTGATGTCTTACTTGGCTCCCCTATATTCCTACTATAAGCGAAACCATCCGATACTTTTCTTTTTCCTTCTGGCTTATTTCAGTGAGCATAATTCCTTCTAGCTCCATCTACCTTGCTGTAAATGGCAAGAGTTTACCTTTTTTGATTGCTGAATAATATTCTGTTGTATATATATATATATATATATATATATATATATATATATACCACATCTTCTTGATCCAGTCATCTATTTTTGGGCATCTGGGTTGTTTCCAGGTTTTACCTATTGTAAATAGTGCTGCAATAAACATAGGGGTACAGGTGTTCTTTTGAATCAATGTGTTTGTGTCCTTTGGGTAGATCCCTAGGAGTGGAATTGCCAGATCGTATGGTAGCTCCTTTTTTATTAGACTGAGGAACCTCCAGACAGCTTTCCATAGTGGTTGGACCAGTTTGTACTCCCACCAGCAATGTAGGAGAGTTCCTTTTTCACCGCATCCTCGCCAACATTTGTTGTTGCTTGTTTTTTTGATATGTGACATTCTTACTGGTATAAGGTGGTATCTCAATGTGATTTTGATTTGCATTTCCCTGATGATAAGGGATGTTGAACATTTTTTCATGTGCCTGTTGGCCATTGGCATTTCTTCTTTGGAGAAATGTCCTTTAGGTTCTTCTGCCCATTTCTTGACTGGATTGTTTATTTTGTTTTTGTTGAGTCATGCGAGTTCTCTGTATATCTTTGTGATCAGTCCCTTATCAGTTGAATGGAGTGCAAGGATTTTTTTCCCAATCAGCGGGGTGTCTCTCTGTTTTGATTAATGACTCTTTTGCTGTATAGAAGCTTTTCAGTTTGATGTAATCCCAGGTGTTTATCTTTTCCTTGACTATCTTTGCTTTGGGTGATGAGTCTTTAAAGAAGTTATTGCAATGTATGTCTTGTAGTGTTTTACCTATATTTTCTTCTATATATTTTATGTTTTCATGTCTTATGCCCAGTTCTCTTATCCATTTTGAGTTGATTTTTGTGCAAAGTGAGAGGTAGTGGTCTAGCTTCATTTTTTTGTACCTGGTGGTGCAGTTTTCCCAGCACCTTTTATTGAACAAACTGTCCATGTTCCATTGCATGTTCTTTACTCAAAACATTCTTTATCCATAAAGGAAAAAGTGACATTTGGACAACATCAACATGAAGACTTTTTTTCTGCAAAAGATCCTGTTAAAAAGGATGAAATAAAGAAATTATACTGGGAGAAAATATTTTAAATCATATATCTGACAAAAAACATGTATTAGAATATAATGAAACTTCAAACTCAACATTTAGGTAACAAAAAAGATAATTAGAATATGGGCAAAACACATGCACAGACATTTCACCAAAGATGACACACAGATGACAAATAATCACATGAGACGATGTTCAACATGATTAGTCATTAGACAAATGCAAATTAAAACCACAATGAGAGATCACTACATACTTTCAAAAATGACTAAAATGAAAAAAATAGTGATGACACCAAATGTGAGCAAAGATTTGGAGAAACCAAATCACTCATACAATGTGGTGGAAAGATAAAATGGCATAGGCACTCTGGAAGACAGTTTGGAGCTCTTTTTTTTTTTTTTTTTAAAGATTTATTTATTTATGCATACAAGAGCTAGAGTACAGGCCAGAGATGCAGGGAGTGAGAGGATTCACCAGAGACAAAGTGGGGAACAGAACAGGCAGACTGGCTGAAATACACTGCTGAGGGGAGCAGCAGATGAGACAGGAGAGGTCTGCTGAGCCATGCGGGTAGCTCCCTGGCTGGGGATCAAACTCGTGCTGCAGAGGCTGCAGATTTCTTTCATAGTGTGGTGCTTAACCCCCTGCACCATGGAGCCCTTTTTAAAACTAAAATTGAACTTACCATATGACCCAACAATTATACGCTTGAGACTATAACCTAGAGAATTAAAGATTTTTTTTTTACACAAAAACCTAAACATGAGTGTTTCATGGTTGATTCATTCATAATAATCCCAAACTGAATATTACCTAAATTTCTTTCAATAGATGAATAATTAAATAAACTGTGGTACATCCTTTCCAGAAATACTACTCGGCAATAAAAGGGAAAGAACTATTGATAACACCCAACAACTTGGATGAATCTCAAGGAAATTATATTGAATGAAGAAAAGTAAATTTCATAAAGATACTTTATGATTCCATTTATATAATATTTCTTATAGAGACGGAGAACAGAATTGTATTCAGAGCTGGTTACATGAAGCTACACATGTAATAAAATATCACAGAGTTACACATACAAACAGTACATACATAACAAGTTAAATCTGAATAAGCTCTGTGGAGGATACCCATGTCAATTTCCAGTTTTGAAATGTAGGATAATAATGCAAGGTGTTAACAATGGGAGAAGCTGGGTGAAGAGTGTCCAGGAACTCTCTGTATTTTCCTCAGTACCTTCCTGCAAATCTATAAGTGCTTAAAAATGCAAGTTTTTTTTAAGGTTATAAATTTTAATTTTAAAAGACCCCTTTTACTACTGGAACTCACATTTCTACATAATGATGAAGATACAGCACTAATGGTCCCTGGTCTCCAGGAATTCATGGCTTCTACTGGTTTTGTAACCCTGGCCAAGTGACTTCTCTTCTCTGAACCTCAATTACCCCCCTCAAAATGAAAACTGAATGTTAAAAATGCTTGCAATTCTTGAGATAAGGAGCCCCAAGTGGCCTGGGGAGGATACCATGCAGCATAACCACACGTCTTTTACTCAGTCAACCATATAAGATGAAGAGTAAACAAAAGGACATGAGAGCGAAGGAGGAGGAGAGCTACATGGGGTGAAGATACTTGAAGAAGGGACACTTGGAGGAGACAAATGGAGCACAGTTTTGGAGAAGAGATACTTGGGCATGAGGAGTGGAGAAGCTGCTCCTGGGACTTCCACATTAGGGCAGAGACAATGGCAGATGTCATCTTGACCTCATGGTGGACTGGATGGTATATTTTGAATTTTGAGTCTACTTTTGGCCCAGTTCTCTGGGACCTGTCTAGCTCCTTCTTGTGGCTCCCCACCAGAAAGTGCCTTAAACTTGTGCAAGCTTTTGGGCCTCCCCTATCCTGCTTAGGATCAAGTCTGTTTGACTGAGCATTTGCACAGAAAAAGATGGGCAATTTTCAGAATTTGCTTCTACTTGAAATTCTATCTTCTCTTTTCCCCCCTCCTCTTCCTCTTCCTTCCTTCTCCCTCTCCCTCTCCCTCTCCCTCCTTTTCTGCTTTCCTCCCCCTGCCCCTGCCCCTCCCACTCTCCTCCACATCAATTAAAGACCTCTCACACTAAGAGTATGCTTTATTTGCCATTGTGTGTGCAGATGGCCAAACCCTTAACAATTAGGGATCCCTGGGTACCCCTTGGTCATGCACTTAGAGTAGCAAGAGTAGAAAGTCAACATGAGAAATCTAGAGGTTTCTACAAGTTGCTCTTTCATCACACTACTTGTAGGTTGACCTGGCCTCCTCCACCTACTGTCATAAAAATCTTTCTCTGCTCCCCTTGCCAGGGGCATGAGAACTGCCTGCAGGAATAAGTACAGGAAGTGCTTCCTTCTCGTACCTCCACCCAGTGATGAGGGGCGTTGCTGGTTAAGGGAGGTTAAGGCTGCTTGTCTGCTAACTCATCCTTGGGTTTCACTTGGGAAACCTAACCCCATCACTGGCCTTTTTCTAAACATCGCCTTACTCATTTCCTTATTCCCTTATGAGGTATCTCACCTCTGATCAGTCGCTTGCCGCAAGGCCCAATTCAAGTGTTACTAAAAAGGATTCTTTTGTAAAATTGTTCAATATGATTTTTAAATTTTTCATAATTGACTTTAATAAGAACACTTAAATGAAGATGATTTCATCTAAGAAATTTTAAAGTTCAAAGACATGACCTGTTAAAATGGCTGGAAGTATAAAGTAAGACAACTGGCTAAAAATACATACAAATTTTAGAAAAATAACACTGGCTACTTTTGAAAGTGGGGTTAATAATAATTTTCTCCCATTTTTCCATACTTTCCAGTTCTCTGCAAAAGTTTTTTTTTTTTTTTTTCAATTATGCTTATTGGGGTAACACTGATTTACAACACTATATAGGTTCTAGGGGTATAAGCTCACACCTCTGTGTAGGTACATTACCACACTGCAAAGATCTCATATTACTTTGGCAGCTTCTGATAACCTGCCCTACCAAGTACAGACTGGTCAATTATCGGGGAAGTCAACTCAATGAAAGATGAACCCAGGCTGCAACTGAGAGAAACCAAGCAAGACACATACCCCTGCCAACTGCTGGGGTCCAGGCCTGGGTTTCTCTGAGTATAGGAGGAACGGGGAGGAGGTGGCAGGTGGCGGAGGGGAAGAGAGAACCTCTAGGACCCGAGAGATCCAGCAAGAGGGCCAGAGCCTGGCAACCCAGAGTGCTGAATGCAGTTGGTCACCACTACCGGGCTGCGGAGCTGGGGTCTCTGTGGCAAAGATCTGCAGAAAATCACCTCTAACCCCGCTGCTAGAGGGGACAGTGCCTGTGACCTGAGCCACCTGCCCCTCTGTGGGCCACTCCCAGCTCATTCATCATTAACACACAGCAGACTCTGAGCTGGAGCTTGAGATACATCGGGGAATTGGTCCACAAAGGTACCACCTTCACAGCATTCAGTTTAGGGAGAGCCAGCAAGAAGAATGGGAGAGAAGGGCATTTTCAACAGAAAAAGTAGCAAAGACAAGGTTCAGGGGCAAGGAGAAGTTTGCCTGATCTGAGCTCAGTCTGTCTGGTTAGGCCTCAGCTTGGGGTTGGGTTGGAGGTGAGGCTAAGAAGGAGGCCCAGAACATTCTGGGCACAGGCACCATACAGAGTTCCTCGAGTTCATGGTGCTTCAGGCAAGGGAGTATACTTCAAGTTTTTTGTTTTATAATCTCCCCTTTCACAGCAGAGTGAATGGTGGATCTTGTCTGAGAAGGGCTGAGCTGAGGTCAAGGAAAATGGGGGACACTGGAACCCTGGTGTAGGTGCTGGGTGACAAGCAGGCACCTTCCTGAGGTTTTGAGGAGGTAGATTGGAGGCTGGTGCAGATCTTTCCTTACCTCTGGACTGGAACAAGCCATCAGCCCAAAAAGCAGGAGGAAGACAAAACAAGACAGAGACAGACCTGAGACCAAACCAAGAGGCATGTGGAGCTGGGAGCAGACACATGCACTGAGCACAGCCACAAACAGCATAAACCTTACACCAGCATAACACACAGTGCTTTACTGAGTAAGGGAAATATAATAAGCCAGCATCTTAAATTCATTGCATTCACTACTAGGTTCTAGTTTTTTTATTTGATTATCAATGAGCAAAACAATGACCAAATAAAAAAATTAACAGAGAGGTAAAAAAAGGGGGTGGCGGGGGGCAGAAATCTGACCAAAATATTTTGGAGGCCAAAAACCCCCACCTTGTTAGACATGTAATGTGTCTTCAATGGTTCTCCATTGTAAATGCAAGCACCAGCTCTGTGGGGGTTAATACATCTTACAGGCTTTGGGGAGCTTTTCTGCAGCCTGTCTCTGAGGATTGACAGACCAAATCCAAATCCTTAAAACACTAACACTCACACAAATGCAATTCAGACCACAAAAGACTTTAAAAGGCCCAAAAAGAATACTTTACAAGAAAAGAAAATAAGGATCTAGGGGAGATGGGAATATTTTCCCTCTATGTTCTACTTCCAAAGCCTCTCAATGAATCTTACATTGTTTTTAAGATAGGAGAATAAATAAACATTTCATGTAAGAAAAATCAGGTCATGAAGAAGAGGAGAAGTCTTCAAGATATGTTGTGAGGCGTTTCACTTCCATTAATTTATATGAACAAAAGATGCAGCAATAAGATCAGCAAAATTGCAAAATCAAGGAAACATGCTTGACACCACCTCCTCGCTTCCCCAGCCAGTGTCACAACCAAAAACAAAAACAGAGTTGCGGTTGAATTGTGTGTCACAAATTAGAATGACAAGGTAAGAAAAGACAAACAAGACACCCACTGGTTAACTAATGGCAGCCAGCACGAACAGTGGCTCCACTGTCCTGGGCTGTAGAAGTCTGAAAGAAGCGGACAGCGTGTGGGACTACAACAGGAAGGACCTGACATCCTTAATGAATAACA